CGCTTATTTACAGTCTAAAACGTATTTTAGGAATTTTTTCATTAAATTCCTCTTTAAACTTCATTAAATAATACAATTTTGTACAAATAATTGAATATTATGCTACTATTTATAAAAATAAAATCTGAAATCCATTAAGTTCTCCATCATTTTTTCAATTCACAAATGATTTTGCCCTCACACTTGCATTGCCTACTAAGAAAGTTAGTAGCTGGTACTTATCAGGTTAATAAAGTTGGAGTAAATTTATTTCTGTTAATATCCTTGGAAAAAGTTTTAATTGATGAAACTCATGAATCAAATTGGCATAGTTTTGCAATTATAATTGATAAAATTAAAAATGTGATTTTTTAAACGATCTCATTCAGACTATTCAAGGTAATTCTGTATAAAATGCTGACAATCTTGAGTCACATTACCTAATTCTGCTATGGGTTTAGTAGCCCAGTGTGCATGGTCTGACTAAATGTTGTAGTAACTCAACTTGTATACTCAGGCTATAGTAGTAGTCTAACTTGTATCTACCCTTTATATATAGCATTAACACTATCTGCTCAGGCATCATTTACTGCACATGTCACAAGGTTTTAGTGGCTTATATTCAAAACTTTATTAAACTTCTTTTCCTGTTATACCAATCAGTGTAACATAAAATCATAGCTAATAGTCCACATTTTAATAGTATATAAGTTTTATGTTCTTAATTTTATAAGGCAATATTTTAAAAAATCCTGAATTTCCCCTAGTTTGAGAAAGATGACACATTTTCTCTAGGCATCCCATCTTCTTTATTTTATTCACCACCCCTCCAATAAATAAAAATTTCAAAGTAAATTACTCATCATACAATCTTCATTGCTCAGATAAACCATAATTTTTATAGCCTTCAATTTTGTTTGGTTACAGAGCTATCAAACAGAAAATCAGACCCCATTTGCCACACCTACCTGTCACATCCTCTCTTTAAGGATTTGTTAAGAGTTCTCTCTTACATTTAATTCCATGTCATCTATAACCAATATAAAGGTTTTTATCTATCAAATAACATTACATTGTTTTATGAACCTAGAATTGTCAATTTCTCTTTTAGTACAAGCTTTGTTCCCACAGGAAAGATAATAACTAGCTTGGATGAATTTGTAACAGCTCTTGTTGCATAGTTAAAAATCCAGAAAAATTGTCATAGTTGGAGGAAATTTGTCTGTTTTTGTATGTTATTAATCTATGTTCTTTAGTGCATTATGTATTTAAATAAAAATAAATTTAGTATAAATTTAGTATAAAAAAAATAGAGTTAACTGTCCTCGACAGTCAACAGCAAAGAAAAAAGAAGACTGGGTAAGTACTTTATTTCTTGTTTCTCATGTTGATTCTATATTCATTATTATAAAAATAACTAAAATATAAAAAGAGGGATCTCCTTAGTTCAAATTAGGTAAGATAAATACTAATAATAATAAAATAAAAGCACTCACGTAAGCAGCATGGAGTAGCTCGTAAGTAATGTAATTTGATAGCATAATGTGAGCTCCACATTCCCCAAGTGAGTTAGAACTTATAATGGTGCAAATAGTAGTTAGATTTGGTTCGAAAGCCAATAAAACAATAAAATTTAATTATAAATAGATATATACTGTTATGAGTTTCAAGCTACTTAGGATAAACAAATGTAGTTTCATGTTACTTATGAAGTTATTCTAGAAAGAAAAAGAGGGTAATTTAGATTTATTTTGATTTTTTTTTTTGGTGGTTGAGTTGTATTGAGTCAGGGAAAATAAAATAAAAGATAAAATATAAAATTTTACTGAAAAGAAACATATAAAATGTATTTAGGACATTTTAGAGATTACACAAATGAAATTTGAGATTTTTGAGATGAAGAAAATAATTTTTAATCTTAACAGGAAAATCAATTTGTACACGGACTATTCAAAACAAATACTCAATATATTCAGGGACAAATCTTTTTTTTAGTTTATTAAAAATACTTCACTAAAAAATATGATTTTTTGTATGTGAAAGACTTGTAATATTTACTGAAAGAATGGCAAATTTCGTGAAGATATACATGCTATATTAAAAGTTGGTAGTATCAAATTTATAGACTTTGGACGAGTACAAATAGGTCATGTGATTGGTCAAATTGACCAAGCCTGTATTGAGAGAGATAACTAAAAGTCAATTTTTTTCAGAACAAACAAATTTACTACAAAGAAATTTCCTCCAGTTCCTCCTTCAAAATCATTTGTCCTTGCTCAATCAGATATGAAACAAGTAAATTGGGTAACAAATTCATAATAATACACTATTCTTCATTAGTTAATTAGTTCATTAGTTAATTAACAAAACAAATGGAGCTGACAACAGGAAGTAATAAATAAAGTTAAATCTTCTATTGTAGCTGAAAATTTCAATAATAAGTTTTAAAAAAGAAAGTTACAACAATAGTAAGTATGGAAATGCAGGGCATCAGAAAAATCTAATGTAACTAATGATGCAATGTTATACCATATAAAGAATTGTCTTGTAGATAGAATTAACTATATATACTAATAGCTTAAACTAACAGGACATAAAACTTATGGTGTTCAATAAACAAAAAGTAGTTCAACATAACTGCCTTAAGCAGCTTTCAAAGAAATTAAAGTGTAGAGATGAAAGTTTTAAAAGTCATAATATTCTGTAAAACATTTAAATCCATAATTATGGGCAAGAACTTTGGTGAATTTGTCTCAAAAATGAATTAATTTTGTGCTTAAAATGTGTTACGAGAAATCTTGTGTAAAATGTGATTTTACACAGTCTCACAATATTGAACAAATTCTATTGTATCTAATAAGCAATGAGTAATAAACATTGTAACACAATTTATTTGAAGATGGAAAGTTAGTAACTTCAAAGTCAAAAGTCTTCATACTATTAAAAACTTTGAACTTAAGTTTTTCATTAATGATACTGATATCTAAATCCATGTATTGTGCTTATTTTGGTGCTTATGGACTGAAATTACCTTACGTTAGAATTCCTTGCATTTGTTGGAAGATATGTTGGCTGCATTACAC